GATGTGGGTGCCTCCCCAGCCCAGAAAATGTGCCAGTGAGGCCACCCTGCCCACAGCCTACAAACCCTCCAAAGACAGTCACAGGGAGTTAACCTTCCAAGGGTAAGATCCCGAGAGATCTAAGCAGGGAAGGGGCCGGAAAGCTTGGAGGACTCTGGACTTGGCCAGAGACTGCCTCCCTACCGCCCTGCCCCTCCCTGCTTCCAGGGAAGGCTGAGTTTTGGAGATCCTCTGCCTCTGCTTCCTCTTTCCCAGGTGTCCCCAATCGCCTCCAGGTTTAGGACAAGTCGCGTCGGGAGAGCTTACTCCTCTGGGCAGATGGCTCCCAACCCGCCAAGAAAAGCCCAGCCCTCCCCTCGGAGGAGGTGCTCGGAGCTCGAGAAAGGCCCAAAGCCCAGCCATTTGTCAGCTGCTCCCAGGGACAGGGTGCCAGTTTCGGCCCAGGCGGGCGGCCCCCTCCGGCACCTTCCAGAAGGTTCCCTCCTCCATTCACCTGGCTTAGGTGTCCCATGAGTCCGGCCCCGGGGAGGGGGGCTGCCAGGCCCGTCCTGAAGAGCAGGGAGCCATCGGGGCACAGAGAGCCGGGAAACACGGAAACAGATGTGCGGGCCAGCCCTGACAGGCGAGTAATGACAGACGCTCTCTGCAGGCCTCAGATGTCAGCGTGGAGAAAAGAAAGGGGCCTCAGCAACACCTGTTCCGGGCTCGGAGGCCACGCTCCAGGGGCTGGGCTGGGTGTCCCCGCAGTGAGGGGCCAGGGTGCGGTTAGGTAAACAGCTGCACGCTCCATTCCCCTGAACACTCCCCGGACGGATCGCTGGGTCGCTGGGAGAGGGCAGGACAGCCGGCCCGCCAACTGGCAAGCAAGGAAAGCCCATCGATCACGCAGCAGGCCTATCGGGGACGACCCGCAGCAGGAGGTCCCGGCTGAAATCTGAACACCGGCACAATGACGTGGGGAGCAGAGACAAAGGGCACCACTTATCAGCTGGGCAGCGACCAGGGGGGCGGGGGACAGGATAGCGGGGCCGGCTGGTGGGGGCTTTTCAGGGCCTCTGGCCCGTGCAAGCTAACTCCCGCCTCTCAGGGCTCCAGGGGTGGGGGAGGCACGTGCGGGGAAATTCGGACCATCCCCCGTCCAGGGCACTGCCACCTTCACAGGGGGAGCCCCAGAGGGGACAGAAAGGCAAGAGACAGTGGAGGCTGGGGCCCGGACGCCAGAGCCGGACTCCTGGCTCCAATGCCGGTCCTGCTGTTACTAGCTGTGTGACCCTGGGCAAATCGCTTGCCCTCTCTGGACTTGCTTTTCCGCTAAGGAATGGAGATGGTGTCACCTCCCTGAACAGGGCCGCTAGGAGGATCCAGCAAGAGTGATACAAGGGAAGCGTGGGGCACGGTCTGGAACACAAAGTGCATTCCGTGAAGCCACCATCATCATCATTATGTCCCCGGATGTCGCCTCTGGCAGCCTGGCCCGCTGCGTCCCTGGGCTCTAAAGGGAGGGACAGCCCAGCCCCCCTCCCCCAGCAGGAAGGTGGGGGGTGGGCAGAGGCCGCAACAGCACAGCAGGTGGGAGCCAACAAGAGACGCAACCCCCAGTCACCAGCACCTCAGAGCGAGAGAAAGGAATGAACGTGTCCCATTTTCCTACTGCGCACCTGCGGCTCCCACCGCAAATCTTCCAGAAAAAGGTCATCTCCATCTCGCCGGTGCTTCGAGAAGGCAAGTCTGGCCCCGGGTCACACAGGTGGCTCCCAGCAGAACAAACACTGAAACGAGGGCTGGGTGAATGCCGACCCAGAGTCTCATGGGCGGCTTCACAGAGGGGCCCAGGCGCTGGCGTTCCTCCTCAGGGAGGGGGTACCGGGCCCCCGAGAGGGTGGGCTGCAGCCTGCCCCGCCAGCCCCAACACAGCGCTGCGCCAGACGCCAGCTCCGAGATCTGGGGGCTACGGGACGGGGCGCCTCCGGGAAGCAAGGAGTCCGGCTGGAGGGAAACGCCGCAAACACCATCCAAACAGAGGGTGTCGGTGACACCTTCCTTTCCTTTCTCTCCTTCTCCCTTTCTCCATGTTCTTCCTAATGTTTCAGGCTGATTCACTAATGAATGAACGTGGACCAGGAACAACAGGAGCCATCACAGGAGGTGGTATCGATGAGGTTCCGGAACATGCCGTTCCGGCTCAGTAGTTTCCCGGGGGCTACCTGCCAACGCCCCCGAGCCACTCCCCCCCGAATCCTCAAACCACACACCAGAGACAGGCGGGACCCGGGAGTCCCCGCTTTGTCCCCAGCCGCGAGGCCAGCGCTCGCTCCTCGTGCCCACCCTGGCGCCGGGGGCCGGTCCTGCTCTGTTTACAGCTCTCCACCGCCGCACCCCTCCCCCTGACACTGAAGGCGCAGCACTTGCCACCAGATCCCCAGCGTCTGGAACAGTGCCTGGCTCAGAGTAGGCGCTCCATCACATTTGTTAAATGAATGGGCGGGAGGAAGGAAGGGCAGGAGGCTGCATTTCCGGCTTTCTACTGATGACCAGTCAGGCTCTCCTCTAGGCAGGAGTAGATGCTTCTCCCACCCTCTGGCTGTGGGAGCCTGGGAGCCGCAATGCTGCCCGCCCCCCCCCCCCCCCCCCAGGCCGCTGGCCTCACCACCCACCTGGATTGCTGCCACGGCCCAGCCCTGGGTGGATCTCTTCCCGGCGCGTTCGGCGCATTCCAAGCCTTCTTTCAAGGACTTTTTATCTCTCCCCTGTGCCTGACTCCCAGGCCTGGAGTTCACTGCAACCTCATTCCCCCTCATCCCCACGGGCTCTCCCGTGCCTATTCTGCTGGACCCCGCCCCCGAGCCCCCCCTCCACCGCATCCCACCCATCTTCCAAGGCTACACCTCTGCCAGGGGGTGGACGGAGTGGGGCTCAGGGATGGGAAGACCCAGGTTGAAGACCCACCCCAGCCTCCTCTACTGGCTGCGTGACAGTTGCCGACGCCATCTGACTTCTCTGAGCCTCAATTGTACTCATACGCAAAATGGGAGTAATAAGGCCTCACAAGAGCAAACGAAATAACTTGCTTTAGAAACGGTGCAAAAGCAAGAAAGCCAATCAGCCTTCCCAAACTCATGCTGACCCCTTCTGGGCAGACACCAGCTTGCGTTTTCATCCCCATGGGGCTACCCTCCGCGGCCACCTTCCCAGCTGGACCGTTTCCTGCAGTTCCTACCCGGGAGGCCCACACTTGGCATCTCATCAACTCCTGATGAGTGAGCAAATCAACACAGGAAAACTCACCCCAGAGTGGATGTTCTGCAGAAAAGCACTCTGGCAAACCTCAGAGGAAGCGCTCTGATGACTCCGTGCGCCCCCATCCCCAAGCCCGAGACCCACAACCATCCTGCAGACCGAGAGCCACGCAGAGGACTGACCCATATCCCAGACAACCCTGCCCAACACGTCGGGTAGATGGGAGGGTCCCACCGTATGCCAGGCACTTGACTTTCTGGGGGCAGCTGGATGCCCAATCTGTTTGCATACTTGGCCCTCCAGGGGCAGGCGATCCCGATCTCCACTCCACAGCCCAGGAGACAAGCACAGGGAGGGTGAGACACATCCACTCAGGTGCTCAGTGGCCAAGAGACAGGGCAGGACTGGAAGCCAGGTCTATCCTGCTCCAAAGCCAGGCTTACCTCCCAGCTCCGGCTGGCACTTCCGGAAACTTCACTTCTTCAGATACCCAGGAACAAACCCACAGGCTGGACGGCCACAGGCTGCCAATGAGAAGTCCAGCACCACGGTGGGGAGCGATACAGTGCGTCCATTTAGAATGAGGGGCCCACCAAAGGCCCCAGTTACATCTCTGTGGTCCGAAAGGGACACTGGCAGAGAAGGAAGCCTGGGCAGAGTGTGAAGGCCCAGGGCAACCACTGGAGGGAAGCGGGAGGATGTGTCCACTTCACAGATGCAACCACGTGAACGAACGCATGACCCAGGAATCTCCGCACGGGTGCACACGCACATACAAGGGGGAGGCATGACCAGGAGCCTCTCAAACGCATGGAACGATCATCCCCGAACAAGTCAGAGACACTCTTCCCCATCCACAGGGCCCTCTGCTGGCCCCTCACCAGTGGCTCCCACTACAGGCCTCTGATTAAAACAAACCATTCTGAGGGTCTCTAGCGGAGATTAGGATCATCAGGGTGATCACAACTCACCAACACCTACTTCCCCAGATCCACTGAGGGCAGGCCCTGCTCTGGCCTTTACAAAGCCAGATCCAAAATGAACTGAGCCCCAGTGTGGCTCCTCCCGGGCAGGGAGCGTGAAGGCAGGCGCCTTATAAAGGGGGCGAACGCCAGCCCCCCCGACCCCCTCCGCCTTCCTCCTGCACAGCTGACTTGCAGAGAAGAAAGACTCTCTTCCCACCAGGGGAAAAGTCTGTTTAGGCCACTGTCCCCCGGGTCCCAAACCCCCACGTCTGAAAATCTGTTTCCATCTGCTGTGAAGCAACTGGAGAGTCTCAAAGGAAAAGCGTGAACTTGGGGGGAAAGCTGCCGGAGCTAAGTGGGGCCAGCACTCGAGAGTGGAGAGGAACCACCACCTCTGCTGCATTTCCAACCGGGTGAGCACAGGGACCTCCCGGTGACCTGCGCGGCTGGACTAATTACCAATGTTATCAGGCGGATGACAGACATGCCCCGAACTTCCTCTGTTTGACAGACTCGGCTGCAAACACACTCAAGTTCAGGCCCGAGCCTGCTGTTTTCAGCAGTGCCCTATTCTTCCACAGACCACTCCCCGCAACCCCCCAACTCTACGTGCCTCCTGGCTCAGCCAGGCCGTCGCACTCCCCACGCGCCAGCCCGGGGACCCCCGGGAGGGCACCTCCTACTGGAACGGATCACACAGAATCAGCACGCCCTCCTCCCCGCACAGAGGAACAGAAAATAACAGGTCTTCCTTCCCTGCTTGAAATCACAGAGGCTGAAGGGAAAACAGCCACTTACCTTCATTGCCGCTGCCACTGGTGAGCTCCACCCCACGGGCCCCTGGCGGGCGAGCCCTGGGCCAGCACACACCAGGGTCCCGCACTCCACGCAGGCGCCGATGATCAGCTGCCGCCCATCGTCCACCAGCAGGCTGTGGCTGGCTCGGAGGGTATAGAGGAACAAGGGCAGCCGGGCCACCCGCACGGCCTTCAGCCCCAGACACCGCTTTTTCTCCTGCTGGCAAAAAAAGCACACGAACGTCTCCACCTCGTACTGCCGCGACCAGGGGCTGACGGTGTGGTGGGCGTTGCGGGCCTCGTGTTGCAGCCACTGGCCCAGCAGGTCGTGGTAGCACAGGACGCAGGTGGCCACCAGGCCGGTGGAGTCAGCAGGCCTGGCACGCGGGGCGGGCTGGTAAACGGTGAGGAACGGGAAGAAGGGCTCCTTCTCGCCCAGGCGGCTGGAGGGGTTCACGTTGAGCTGGAACTCCTTCCCAGGGCCCAGCTCAGCCCCGCAGATGTAGCAGACGGACGCCGGGCTGCCCCGGGTCGGGGCCGGCGGCTCGGAGAGAGCAGGGTCTGAAGCCGAGAAAGCCTGGTGGTACCTGCCCAGGAACCCCTGCACGGAGGTGATAAGCTCCTCGTTCTGGCAGGCCCGGTACAGGGCCCAGACGTCCTCCAGGACGCTGAAGCACTTGGGGCAGCTTCGGACCTCACAGCGCTTGTTGGGGCCCCGGGCATTGGGGGGACAGGGCAAGAGGCTGAGGAAGGGGAAATGCATGGAGCCTCTGGCACTGCCATTGACGATCCTGGAGGCCACTGCCCGGGCATCCTGGGTACAGTCCTCCCCACAGAGGTAGCAGGCCTCCGGCAGGGCCCCAGCAGGCGGGCCGTCTTCCCTGGGGAGCCTCCTGCCCTTGGAGGCCATGCCGGGCGCATGGCTGTTCAGGGGCACCACGTAGAGCCGCTGCAGGACGGGCACGCTGGCCAGCTCGAAGTTCTGCCACTGCTGCATGAGCGAGGAGAAGCAGCAGGGGCACACCAGGGTGCTGCCGCCCTCGCCGATGGGCTGGGCCCCTGCAGGGGGGCTGTGCAGCCACAAGAAGGGGAAGAAGGGAGCCTGGGCCAGCTTTTCCTGCTTCTGCACGTGGATCTGGTGCTGCGAGGCCGGCGCCAGAGCCGACCCACAAATGTAGCAGCAAAGGCCCTCTGGTGGCGCAGCCCTGCTCTCCAGGGAAGCCCAGGGGACGCCGCCGGCGCTCTCCTTCTCTTTGAGGCCAGGGAGAGGCTGCTCCTTGCGGTCCTCTTCCTCGCTGGTGATGTTGATGTCACTGTCCTCGGACATGCAGTAGCTCCCGCGGGGCTCCCCCGGCGGCCTGCTCTCGGGAGTCTTGGCGGTCCTGCCCGAAGGGACTCCTTTCATGCCCTCCGCGGGGGCCGCGTGCACGGCAGGGCCTTGCCAAGGGTCCTGAATGCCCCTCAGGACGCTGGCCCGGGCCTCGGGGACCCAGTGCCTCCCGGCGGCCTTCCGCCTGCGCCTCACGCCGGTCTTGGGCTCCCCGTCCCCGCGCTGCTTCGAGGGCGCCCCCTCCTCCTCCACGTCGCCCTGTCCCGGAGGGGGTCCCGGCGCCGGCCTCCACTCCTGGCAGCGCGCCCCGCGAGGCCCGGGCCCC